GGAGGCGACACCATTCTTCCAAGAGAAATTCCATCATTTGATGTTTTGTTGATGGTGGTGGAAAACGCTGTCTCGTCACCGCTCCAGAATCTCCCATAAGTGTTCAATTGGGTTGAGATCTGGTGACTGAGATGGCCATGGTATATGGTTTTCATGCTCATCAAACCATTCAGTGACCACTCGTGCCCTGTGGATGGGGGCATTGTCATCCTATGGGGGCATAGCCATGGTAGCCAAAAGAATGGCCTGTCCAGCATTTTTATACATGACCCTAAGCCTGATGGGATGTTAATTGCTTAATCAACTCAGGAACCACACCTGTGTGGAAGCACCTGCTTTCAATATACTTTGTATCCCTCATTCACTCAAGTGTTTACATTATTTTGGCAGTTACCTGTACATACAGGTTTTTAGGTCATACAAGGTCAGTGGCATTGTGCTGTGAGGTTTTGCCTCACTTGTTTTTTTAAGATACATGTGCTACTTGCCTGAGTGATCCGAGTTGGAAGTGAGTTTCATGCAACCATCGCTTGATACAATACTGTGCGTTGACATGAGTATGTTCTGGATTTGAGGACTGTGAATAGACCCCTGGTGGCAAGTCTGGTGGGGTAAGTGTTGGTTTTAGAGCTGTATGTATGTTGATTATACAAACAGTTTGGAATTTTCAACACATTGATGTTTCTTACAAGAAATAATGCAGTCAATCTCTCCTCTACTTTGAGTCAGGAGAGACTGACATGCTGTTCTGGGCTTTCTTAGGTCCTTTTTTGCAGCTCCTGGCCATATAACCAGGCAATAGTCAAGATGTGACACAACCAGAGTCTGCAGGACTTGTTTGGTCGAATGTGATGTTAAAAATGCAGAGCAGCTCTTTATCACAGACATACTTATCCCCATCTTTACAACAATATAATCAATATGCCTTGACTATCACAGTTTACAATCTAAGGTATCACCAATAAGTTTAGTCTCCTCTACTTGCTCAACAGCCACATTATTCATTACCAGATTCAGCTGAGGTCAAGTACTTAGGGAATGATTAGTACCAAATACAATGCTTTTGGTTTTAGTTATGATCAGAACTAGTTTATTCCTAGCAACCCATTCTACAAATGACTGCAACTCTTTGTTTAGGGCTGCAGAGATTTCACTAGCTGGGGGTGCTGACATGTACAGTGCCTTCAGAAAGTCAGGAGTAACAATGTGCTTAACAAATCACATAATAAGTTGCATGGACTCATTCTGTGTTCAATAATAGTGGTTAACATGATTTTTGAATGACTACCCCATCTCTGTACCCCACACATACAATTATCTCTAAGGTCCTTCAATCAAGTAGTGAATTTCAAGCACAGATCAGATTCAACCACAAAGACCAGGAAGGTTTTTCAATGCCTCGCAAAGAAGGGCACCGATTGGTAGATGAATATCCCTTTGAGCATGATGAAGTTATTAATTAGGCTTTCGATGGTGTATCAATAAACCCAGTCACTACAAATATACAGGCGTCCTTCCTAACTCAGTTGCCGGAGAGGAAGGAAACTGCTCAGGGATTTCACCATGAGGCCAATGGTGATTTTAAAACAGAGTTTAATGGTTGTGATATGAGAAAACTGAGGATGGATCAACAACATTGTAGTTACTCCACAGTACTAACCTAAATGACAGAGTGAAAAGAAGGAAGCCTAATGTTTGCAACAAGGCACTTAAGTAATACTGCAAGAAATGTGGCAAAGAAATGAACTTTTTGTCCTGAATACAAAGCGTTATGTTTGGGAAAATCCAACACAACACATCACTGAATACCACTGTTCATACACTGCTTAAAAAAATAAAGGGAACACTTAAACAACACAATGTAACTCCAAGTCAATCACACTTCTGTGAAATCAAACTGTCCACTTAGGAAGCAACACTGATTGACAATACATTTCACATGCTGTTGTGTAAATGGAATAGACAACAGGTGGAAATTATAGGCAATTAGCAAGACACCCACAATAAAGGACTGGTTCTGCATGTGGTGACCACAGACCACTTCTCAGTTCCTATGCTTCCTGGCTGATGTTTTGGTCACTTTTGAATGCTGGCGGTGCTTTCACTCTAGTGGTAGCATGAGACGGAGTCTACAACCCACACAAGTGGTTCAGGTAGTGCAGCTCATCCAGGATGGCACATCAATGCGAGCTGTGGCAAGAAGGTTTGCTGTGTCTGTCAGCGTAGTGTCCAGAGCATGGAGGCGCTACCAGGAGACAGGCCAGTACATCAGGAGACGTGGAGGAGGCCGTAGGAGGGCAACAACCCAGTAGCAGGACCGCTACCTCCGCCTTTGTGCAAGGAGGAGCAGGAGGAGCACTGCCAGAGCCCTGCAAAATGACCTCCAGCAGGCCACAAATGTGCATGTGTCTGCTCAAACGGTCAGAAACAGACTCCATGAGGGTGGTATGAGGGCCCGACGTCCACAGGTGGGGGTTGTGCTTACAGCCCAACACCGTGCAGGACGTTTGGCATTTGCCAGAGAACACCAAGATTGGGAAATTCGCCACTGGCGCCCTGTGCTCTTCACAGATGAAAGCAGGTTCACACTGAGCACATGTGACAGACGTGACAGAGTCTGGAGACGCCGTGGAGAATGTTCTGCTGCCTGCAACATCCTCCAGCATGACCGGTTTGGCGGTGGGTCAGTCATGGTGTGGGGTGGCATTTCTTTGGGGGGCCGCACAGCCCTCCATGTGCTCGCCAGAGGTAGCCTGACAGCCATTAGGTACCGAGATGAGATCCTCAGACCTCTTGTGAGACCATATGCTGGTGCGGTTGGCCCTGGGTTCCTCCTAATGCAAGACAATGCTAGACCTCATGTGGCTGGAGTGTGTCAGCAGTTCCTGCAAGAGGAAGGCATTGATGCTATGGACTGGCCCGCCCGTTCCCCAGACCTGAATCCAATTGAGCACATCTGGGACATCATGTCTCGCTCCATCCACCAACGCCACGTTGCACCACAGACTGTCCAGGAGTTGGCGGATGCTTTAGTCCAGGTCTGGGAGGAGATCCCTCAGGAGACCATCCGCCACCTCATCAGGAGCATGCCCAGGCATTGTAGGGAGGTCATACAGGCACGTGGAGGCCACACACACTACTGAGCCTCATTTTGACTTGTTTTAAGGACATTACATCAAAGTTGGATCAGCCTGTAGTGTTGTTTTCTACTTTAATTTTGAGGGTGACTCCAAATCCAGACCTCCATGGGTTGATACATTTGATTTCCATTGATAATTTTTGTGTGATTTTGTTGTCAGCACATTCAACTATGTAAAGAAAAAAGTATTTAATAAGATTATTTCATTCATTCAGATCTAGGATGTGTTATTTTAGTGTTCCCTTAATTTTTTTGAGCAGTGTATTTTCAAGCATGGTCGTGGTTGCATCATGTTATGGGTATGCTTGTCATTGGCAAGGACTAGGGAGTTTTTTTCTTTTGGGGGGGGGGGGGGGTAAAAAGAAACGGAATAGAGCTATGCACAGGAAAACCTAGTTCAGCCTTCTTTCCAACAGACACTGGGAGATGAATTCACCTTTCAGCAGGACAATAACCTAAACCATAAGGCCAAATATATACTGGAGTTGTTTACCAAGACGACATTGAATGTTCCTGAGTGGCCTAGTTCAAGTTTTGACTTAAATCGGTTTGGAAATCTATGGCAAGACTTGAAAATGGCATTCTAGCAATGATCAACAACCAACTTGACAGAGCTTTAAGAATTTTTTTCGAAGAATAATGGGCCAATATTGTACAATCCAGGTGTGCAAAGCTCTTAGATTTACCCAAAAAGACTCACATCTGTAATCACTGCCAAAGGTGTTTCTAACATGTATTGTCTCAAGGGGGTGAATACTTATCTAATTAAGATATATTAGTGTTTTATTTTTCATAAATGTTTAATGTTTGAATTTTTCTTCCACGTTGACAGAGTATTTTGTGTAGATCGTTGACCAAAAATGACAATTAAATCCATTTTAATCCCACTTTGTAACACAATGTGGAAAAAGTCAAGGGATGTGAATACTTTCTGAATGTACTGTATAGTGTTGAAACATCTGCATCCATAGACACACTGGCTTTGTTTAAGGCTAGTGGTAGATCATTAGAAAAATAGAAAACAGTAAAGGGCCAAGATAGCTCCCTTTTGGAATACTACACTTTACATGTTTTACGTCAGAGAAGCTCCGATTAAAGAAGCCCCTCTGTGTTCTATTAGATAGATGTCTCTCTATCCATAATATGGCAGATGATGTAAAGCCATAACAATGAGTTTTTCCAATAACAAATGACAGTCAATAATATCAAAGGCTGCACTGAAATCTAACCATATAGCTGCCACAATCTTATTGTTATCAATATCTTTCAGCCAATCATCAGTAATTTGTGTCAGTGCAGTACATGTTTCACTTGATATGAACATGTACTTTATTTCTTTACTTACTACTTTTATGATCCCTTTCAATCGTTTTTAGTATATAGCGGCAAGATAACATCTTCTAAATACAACAAATACTTTACATCTAATCACACTTTATATTTTTTGGAAACAAAGGTTAAGGTTTTGTTTAGCATCAGTATTTTCTAGAACTCGTAATAAATGGTGATATGTTGCAAAAACATGCAAACTACACAAAATATTGTATGTTATAGGTCACTTTGGAGCTTTAACTATAGTGGGAGATACATTTGTAAAATAAACAAGACCAAGGAAGTTAATCAAATGTGTTTGTCCTTAAAAGCATTTGATAGAGATGGAGCCTACTTGAACAATTCTACATGTTTATTGGCAGGGGCAGTATTGACATCATGGGAGAGTCCATAATAGTGTTGGTCCTTACAGTTCTGTGCTGCCCTCTGCTGCTGAGCAAAGGAACTTCTAAAGAGACACTACAGTATGATCCTGAAGCAAAGTCGTCACATAAAATAATTACCTACATTTATATTAGGAAACACAAACCAAAGTAATACTGAATATATTAAATCATGTTATTTTATTATTTTCAATGTCAATGCTACAGTACTTACATTTTCTGTTGTCATTCAGAATGTCATGTTACAAAAGACGTAATAGACAGGCCTACATTCTCACTTCCAGTACCCAAACAAACAAGGTCAATGATACCTCAAGGTTAACTTTAAGACCCACTCCCTACCAGAAATACAGTATGAGAACATTTCCAATTTCCATGATTTAAGAAAAAACCTTGATGACATTGCAAAGAAAGAGACAAAGTAGAAGATAAAGTCAATAGTGCAGTGAAGTACTGAACATTGTTGAACAGAAAGTAGACCTAGAGGTTGAATGAGGACTTGCAGCCTAGATGGCACAGCACTGGATATCTTAAAAATCCTTCTTTAACCTGTCTCCTCCTGCCATTCATCTCCACTGATTGAAGTGGATTTAACAAGTGACATCAATATGGGATCATAGCTTTCACCTGGATTCACCTGGTCAGTCTTATGGAAAGAGCAGGCGTTCCTAATGTTTTGTACACTCAGTGTAGATTGAGTCCTCAACAACAGTAATAGAAAGGAAAAACTATAAGACAACCGTTTAAACTCAAACTGACAGTGGGTTCACTTTGTTATGCTTAAAGCTGCAATCCATAGCAGTGAAAGTGCCGAGTCCATTTGCGATATTGGTCAAAGGATGAGTGCCGATTTATATTTTAAGTAGAAATTGTGCACAAATACTGCATTTTAAAAGCCTGTTATATTAAAATAAGTGCCCTTAAATATAGACCACATAGAGAATTCCATAAATCAGATGTATCTAAATAGGCGTGCCAAAATTCAGCATTTTGACATGTCCCTCTGTCTCAGGACAGTGCGACAGCAATCTGTACTGATCTGACGTGAGACAATGATGGTCATGTCAAAATGCTGATATATTGAATTTCATGTTATTTGTGATTCAAGGTTAAAAAAAATATAAATAAGCCTGTCCCTAATTTTAAGGTCAAATCATAGTGTGAAAGCAGGTGAACTGGTTATACTCTTTTTGGCAATTTTCTAGTGTTTTGTAGTGGAAAACAGAGAGTTGAGCATAACACGTCAACCCTGTTACCCATAGATAGACAGGCTAAAAATGTTTTAAGCTTGAATTCAATTGCCCTTTCCTGCTGCACATAAGCTTCCATTCCCCAATCACAAGGGGATTTATGGCTGATTTAAGATGAAGTCTTCAATCCTGTTATAGTCAACCATGTTACTTTATTTGCCACTTAATTAGGCACTTACTATGGTTTTTATCTTTACCTGTTGAGATGGTAAAATTGTTTAAGTTGAATGTGTGCGCTTTATGACAGATTGTTAAAATTAGGTGAAATCATGTAAAACTGGGGGGGGTTTTCCTCAAAGGTTTTTCTCACAACGTTACACTACTCAAAAAGGCACCTAATTGGTGGAACAACACATATTACAACAAAGACATTACTTCAAACAACAAAATAAAAATATCCCTCAGACATCATTGCACGCATGATAGAACAGCAGAGTATGTACTACGATTTTTTTTTTTATACCACAATGCTGGATGCTAATTTCCTCAAAATAAAAACAACAAATGCTCCTGGGGCGGTCAGTGGCTCCTTTGGCGGATTTCAGCTTTAATGTATCAAAACAACAGCTATATAAAGTGGGATAAGGCTTGTCTTCATTTTTCATAATGACACAGGAAAGTGACTTGATTCAGGGAGGGCTGTCTGGCTGAATTTCTAAGACTTTTTATGCCTTGGGGGAACAGATCAGTAAAGGTAGGACAAAAACTCAGGTTCCTAAGATGCAGTGGGTTTTTTACCTTGAAGTCTCCAGATAAGAGTAGGCCGTTCACAACCCTTCATTCCACAATGGAACACAGTTCTCTCACCAAGGACAGGGAACAGTAACTTTCCAAGTACCCAATCCTCTTGAGTTTTCTGACTTGGTACAGAGAATGAGTGCATTTCTTCCTCCATCCGTGATGTCCACAGCGTCATGCAGAGATACAGAGAAGGCCGAGAGGTCCAGGTCTACAAGTAATATGTCCACTCCCTTATTTCTGCAGTTCATGGGAGGTGCTGAATGTCTCATACACATTGGCAGAAAACTCCTTCACTTGGTCTATCATCAGGAGATCCTGGAAAGAGGGAAGGTGTCAAAGTCTTAGAGTCAAGACCTCTTGAAACTTGCTGGGATTGAAAAATGAAGGAAATGCTTCCACAAGTCAAATTAGCTTTTACCTGTACAAATTGACTTGGTATTTCACTGCAGATTGAGTGGATCTGTCCATTCACAATGGGTATGATTTTGGCAACTGGTAGAGTTACATGCAAGAGTCTGGAAGAGATTTTGGAGGACATGAATTGATAGGCAGATTTATTTCCTACAAAAAGGTTGTGTTTCAGTTGTCAGAGCAGCTTACCGATCACTGCACCTGTACACAGCCCATCTGTAATTAGCCCACCCAACTACCTCATCCCCGTATTGTTATTTATTTTGCTCATTTGGACCCCAGTATCTCTATTTGCACATCATCTTCTGCACATCTATTATTTTGCACTATGGCCTATTTATTGCCTTACCTCCATAACTTACTACATTTGCACACACTGTATATAGATTTTCTATTGTGTTATTGACTGTACGTTTTGTTTATTCCATATGTAACTCTGTGTTGTTGTTGTTTTTATTGCACTGCTTTGCTTTATCTTGGCCAGGTTGCAGTTGTAAATGAGAACTTGTTCTCAACTGGCTTACCTGGTTAAATAAATAAATAAAATAAAATCTGGCATTCAGAAAGTGATTTATTACGATAAGATGACCTTTTATCAATTGCTGCCAATTAAATTCATCCACAAAAAAACTGACCCATCAGGTGTAGTGCTGGGGGTGGAGTCTTCCTGTGGTCCCGGTGGGGGCCGGAAGAACTCTGCCATGTTGTCAAGGACACGGTTGAAGCCCCTGTTCAGGCAAGTGCTGAGTACAGTGCCGAAGTCCGGGCTAGAGGACAGAGAGGACACAGTTCAACACACACACACAAAATAAGCCTCTCGAAATAAGGCTCAATACGTTTTAGGCCCGTCTTACCTTTCAAGCATGTCTCTTGTCTCATTGAGCAGCTTTATCGTAGTGATATCATTCTCCGTCAGACGACAGGCCTGTTGTAGACCCCAGTGTAAGCCCAAATAAACAAGAAGAAAATACATCAAGTCGTATAATGTGCATCAGTTCATGACCATTACTCTGACCATGGTTGACAATCCAGTAATGATCAGATTAACAGATCCCCATAGTGGAGCTGTGAGTAGTCCCAGGGGCAGTGGCAGGTGAGGGCTGATACCTGTGTAGCCAGAGTATTCTCCTCATCAGGCATCATGTACCAGGAGAGACATCTGTGTGTGGAGCCCCGTTCCCCCTCCTCCACCTGGGCTCTGATCTGATTCAGGTGCTGCTCCAGCTCCTGCAGGGACAGACTCTGCTTCAGGGACACCCTTGGGGGGGGGGGGGGGGGGGGATAATAAAAATACATACAATTTGATTTGACCGACACAGAGACACGGTCACTGGCAGTCAGGCAAAAGCATCATATATGACTTAACAATCCTCCTCCTAATGTGGTTTGAGGTGCATTGTGTGCATGTGGTTGGCACTGTCTGACTCACCCGCCTAATGTGTTCTGCACAGCTTTCTTCACCGCTGTTATCATCTCACTCAACCCTTGGGAGTGAGAGAGAATGCATCAAATGTAAGGACGTTTTACATCATATGGAACTAATGTAGGCTAGTCAACATAGCATATCTGAGAAGACTTGTTATACTACAGGCCTAGCTATTTCAGAAAGACATGAATGTCTCTTACCATCCCCAAGGAGGTGATGGATGCTGGAGAGGTACTGTTGTTGAACGTCTGGAGGGGCCAATGGCATCTGGTGGAGCACAAAACACAGAAATGGCATGCATAGACCACCTCACATTCAACATTTATGGGCGGTTTTCTGGACACAGATTAAGCTAATTCATGAAAGAAAAAGCATTTGCCTTGCTTTATCTTGGCCAGGTCGCAGTTGTAAATGAGAACTCGTTCTCAACTGGCTTACCTGGTTAAATAAAGGTAAATAAATAAAATATAGAGCCTCTCCATTGAGTTTGCTTTCTAGTCCAGGACTAGGCTTAATATGTGTCTAGGAATTGAAACTGCCCCATAGGGTACAAGAGATTAAAGCATTACCATTCCATTCTTGCTGACAGAATTGTCCATGTATAAGTAGCCACCAATGATATTGAGCTGAACACGGAGAAAAACAACCAACATACAGGTACTGTACACAGCCACGACACTTCGGGTGAAACCTGGGGGTATGGGAAAAAGAGGAGTGATTGCCATATGACAGCTAGCAGTACATCAAGAAATTAAATCACTGTAGTTATTGATTCACAAAGTAATTGCTGTTTAGGAATAATAACTTACTGATAATCTTCAGGTCCTCCCATATTTCAAGTTTATTTACTGGTCTAGAAGAGAAACAGGAGATGTCAATAATACTTCAAACTAATAATTTTGCTGAGCTATGATGCAAGTGGTCATGATCACTTACTTGCTCTTCAGCAGTGTAGTGAGGCTCTCTGAGTTTAGATGATGTAAAATGGCTTCTCTTAATGTAGGGAGCATTGACAACACTGTAAATAAAAACAAAAAACAAGCATCAACAGCGTTTCAAACTGCACAAATATGAATATGAATCATCAACACAGCAGTATCTCAATCATTTGACATAATGAGCGTGGCAGGAGATTTCAGAGACTGTTACTGTTAATAGGCTAAAGGTGAGGTCCGTATCAGTCAAGACAGCATGACAGTACTGTAGCCTACCTGTCATGTTGCACGTTCTCTGGTTACTCTCGAAGTGTAACTGATGTCGGGCTTGAGCGATATACTCTGATGCCTCACGCTCCTGTATATCTTGCATTTTCTTTTGGGCATATTTACCAAGAAAGTACACACCTGGAACAGGCAGGCAGAATGTAGCTAGCTAGAATGAATGCAGCAACATTAGCTAACGTTACGGTCATCAGCTAGTTCGATTTATTATGATTATCTTTCATGTAATTACATTTTCTAGCCATTTAGATATAACGTAACTTCATAAATGCATCATCGTCATAGTTGACATAAAATACCTCTGCTCAAATCTAGACCCACACAGGTAAACATTCCTGGCTAGCAGATGGCTAACTAGGTTACGTTAACGTTAGCTTGATAGCTTACCTCCGACAAAAGCACCAGCGAAAATAAATTTCCTTTTGTGGCGTTTCAGGAAATTCCACGTAGACGAAAACATTCTTGAGACGATTGCAGATTTATAAAATACAATAAATAAAGCACCCAAGTGTGTTATTTTCCACAGTCGCACATGACACGAACTTGATTCCTAGGTGGGACTGGGAGAGGCTTTACTGTATAGCTCAAAGGGCTATGAGGACACGCCTGTGCCCAAATTAGTGACGTACATCGCTCAGCGAGAGTCGAGTGGAGAAATTTTTTGAGAATGACACAAATATAAATTTTGACAAAGTCTGCTGCCTCAGTTTTGATGATGGCAATTTGCATATACTCCAGAATGTCATGAAGAGTGATCAGATGAATTGCAATTAATTGCAAAGTCCCTCTTTGCCATGAAAATGAATTTAATCGCAGACCTTAAACTCCCCAGACCTTAATCCCATTGAGAATCTGTGGTCGATCCTCAAGAGGCGGGTGGACAAACAAAAACACCACAAATTCTGAAAAACCCCAAGCATTGATTATACAAGAATGGGCTGCCATCAGTCAGGATGTGGTCCAGAAGTTAATTGACAGCATGCCAGGGCAGATTGCAGAGGTCTTGAAAAAGAAGGGTCAACACTGCACATATTGACGCTTTGCATAAATTTAATGTAATTGTGAATAAAAGCCTTTGACACTTATGGAATGCTTGTAATTATACTTCAGTATACCATAGTAACATCAGACAAAAATATCTCATAACACTGAAGCAGCGAACTTTGTGAAGACCAATACTTGTGTCATTCTCAACTTTTGACCACGACTGTAGTTTGTTCTTGTGGCTAGAAACGTCAACGAGAATTTGAAACTTGTCTGCCAAAATTGGGACTTGGGAGATTGTTCAGAATCATTCAGTCATTCAATTGTACGTTTAATTTTGTACAAAAAAATGTAGACGTGAATGCCGCAGTTATAGACCTACATTTTAGGTGAAAATCACCTTCTTTTTTTTTTTTTACTGCATAATAAATTAATAAATGTGACTGGTCAATTGTGTGAGTGAGGGCTGCGCCCAAGAGGCAAAAAATAAGATTAAAAAACGTTTTTTGTTGTTGTTATCCAACCACAGGAGCCTGCTCTCAATGTTCAAAATACACCAGAGAGCATCATTTAGCTACAGAGGATCAACAGTTTATAAAAAATAACAGTGGATTAAGTTTTTATCACAAGCACATACAGGTAGGCTATCTGCCAAAATTAAGGAAACACCAATATAAAGTGTTTTAGGGTGTTGCACCACCACGAGCTTCCAGAACAGATTCGATGCGCCTTGGCATATATTCTACAGGTGGACCTAAACCATGCCAGCAAAATGCACCCCACACCATAACATGTACTTTGAATCTGTTGTTTACTCAAGTGTTTTCTTTATTTTGGCAGTTACCGGTATGCCTACAGTCGGGAAGGCCGCAGTACAGCTTGTTGCTTTGTGGCCATAGACATATAATCCATAGAAGGGTTTGTAACCTCTTACCCTGGCAATTTGACTGTTATACTCCTGGGTACATTGCCATTGGATGCCAGTCCTGATTTTAATGGGAACTGCCGACTATGGATGATATATCTATGGTTGGTTGCGCTGTCAGTTTGTCTTTTGCAGATTTCAAAATACAATCGCGGGAAGAATGCACAGTTTGGAAAGCAAATACCTACTGCTGAAAATTGAACACTAATCTGTCTGTAGAACCAATATTTCTATTTCTATTGGAGAAGCAGTTTTAGCCCCTCTTCATACTGTATTGTCTTTGGTATAGCCTCTCCCTGGCTAGGTGGCTAGCTGCTAGCTGTCAAACACGTAGGTGCGAAGCAGAACACTGACCAAAGCGACATCGATTAATCGGTGTTTCTGCGATCATCTGTAAATTACTGAGTGGTCCGTCCAATATTATCTTCCCCCTCAATGCACCCAAGCGCCATAAATGGGTTCCAGGAAGCGATGATTTTATAACGCTGTCGCTTGAGCATTCTGATAGTTGATGTGTGTTTGTGGCATCATCTAATTTATGTAGTTTCTCATTTGTACATCCAACATGGGGACAGAGAATGTGGGAAAAACATACTTTCAGCAATGTGCCTTTGACTTACAGAGATGGATGGCCAGTGCCTTTGACATGGTACATTTGACATAGGCATATGGACAGGACATAATTTGTGCCGTTGGTGGTAGCAGTTTCGTTCCTCATATTTAGCGTTTTAACTAACTTGTAGAGAACATTTTCTTTGCGTTTTCATATTAAGTAAAACGAAAGGAACGAAACAGCGACGACTAAAGGCGCATTGTGGCTAGACAGGACAGTCCCACCAGTAAATTATTACAACACCAAACTATTTGTAATGGTCTGCTAATAATAATCTCCACCTCTTTACATGTAAAATAAACTTTGGAGAATGGAGAGGTACCTGTTGGATGTCTCATGGTCTACAACAATGTAATCCTTGGCATGGGCCCCGTGTACCTCAGTTGGTAGAGCATGGTACTTGCAACGCCAGGGTTGTGGGTTCGTTTCCCACGGGGGGCCAGTATGAAAATGTATGCACTCACTAACTGTAAGTCGCTCTGGATAATAGCGTCTGCTAAATGACTAAAATGTAAATGTAAGGGGAGAAATGAAGTGAATGAAACAAAATATGAGTGGGGAAATTCCATGGTAACAGAATGATGCTGAGACTCAGATGTTTCACTTTAAAATGTATGCCAAACAAAAAACAATAATTGCTAAGTTAAACAAACCATACAACTCTATGCACAAAGACAACTTTTAACAATTTCCACAGAACAGGACCGAGTTTGGGAAACGCTGCTCTATGTGACTGTGGAGCCATGCATCAGAAGCCATGTGTGAAGGAGCTCTTCGCCTGATCAGGATCCTTGACCTCATCAACCAGTAAACTTGAGTTTACCCATTGGGGTTTACTGTAGCATTTGTGTATGTTCTTTGTGAGGGTTATTACCTTGAGAATTCCTCTATAGTACTTGTCAGAGTATATGTCATTATCTGTTTTGCCTTAACAGTGAGACAGACATTCCTCTGGTGGTGTATGGGTGTAATAATGACAGGTTTGGTGACTGTGGATCTGTTCTAGACATAACTCTGGTGATCTACCCCACACTGGGTCATCATTTAAGCTACAGTCTAGTGTTTACAGCATCTTGTAGAAATGCATCCGTGTTCAAATGCATCCTCATCAATGCAGAAGCCTTGATTTGAATAGTTGAATAGGATCATTCATATACTTTATTCAAATACATACTCCTTCATTTTCAGTGTATCTCATGTTTAAGAGCAGAAGAAGCAATGGAAATGCTGAAGACCTTTTTATAAACAGGAGAACCAAAATGGTAAGATCTGCTACTGTTATCTTGCAACCTTCAGTAACATACGTATCTTAAGTATTTTCACCTACAGTATGCCTGCAAGTTGGATTTTTTCCCTTCTCTTTCAGCCCCCAAGCCCAAGACAAGGAAGGTCCTCTGTAGCACAGCTGGTAGAGCACGGCGCTTGTAACGCCAAGGTAGTGGGTTCGATCCCCGGGACCACCCATACGCAAAAATGTATGCACGCATGACTGTAAATCGCTTTGGATGAAAGCGTCTGCTAAATGGCATATTATTATATTATTTAAAGAAGGAGTGAGATACTGTTGATGTCCAGCAGGGGGCTCTAGTCGTTAAGGAATGAGGTGAGGAGCAGAGGACGATCATGAGGCAAAGGGAGTAGCTAACAAAGCTTTCTCCTGAAACAGACTTGGAACACAACCAATGTGTCCTATGGATTTGTCTGTCTGACAAAGGATTCAAATTGACTTTTTCATCTTCTCACTTATTCATTCAGCCTTTTGCATCAGCACTCATGGTTATTTTCATATTATTGACAGTGTTTTATACCCTTACAGCATAGTTTGGATGGACAGTGGATACTATCCAGGGCCTGTAAAGTGGCTTGATTGCATTTCTCTCTGGCTTTCCTGTGTGGGGAGCTGCTGCTGACCTCATTATGGTTATTAGTGTACAGTTCCAAGTAAACAACTGGCTCGACTGGGCTGGTCAGCACTATTGTCTGGGTTCTCCTCCTCCTCCTCACCATGTCGTCATCTAAACCAGATGTGATCTCACTCCGAGCACCCTGGGTCTGGGATGAGCTGAGCATAAGGCAGGTGCCGGGGCCCCCTCTAAATCAGAAAACTCTAAAGGAGCTCTCTCTCTGCCGTCATGGATCTGACCGCTTTATTTCAAATCAGTGTTGCCCCTTGAGGCCATTTCCCACTGCAATACTACATGGCCAAAAGTATGCTTGTCGAACATCTCATTCCAAAATCATGGGCGTTAATATGGAGTTGGTACCCCCTTTACTGCTATAACAGCCTCCACTCTTCTGGGAAGGCTTTCAACTAGATGTTGGAACATTGCTGCGGGGACTTGCTTCCATTCAGCCACAAGAGCATTAGTGAGGTCGGGCACTGATGTTGGGCGATTAGGTCTGGCTCGCAGTTGCCGTTCCAATTCATCCCAAAGGTGTTTAGATGGGGTTGAGGTCAGGGCTCTGTGCAGGCCAGTCAAGTTCTTCCACACCGATCTCGACAAACCAGTTCTGTATGGACCTCGCTTTGTGCACGGGGGCATTGTCATGCTGAAACAGGAAAGGGCCTTCCCCAAACGTTTGCCACAAAGTTAGAAGCACAGAATCGTCTAGAATGTAATTGTATGTTGTAGCATTAAGATTTCCCTTCACTGGAACTAAAGGGCCTAGCCCGAACCATGAAAAACAGCCCCAGACCATTATTCCTCCTCCAACAAATTTTACAGTTGGCACTTTGCATTGGGGTAGGTAGCGTTCTCCTGGCATCCGCCAAACCCAGATTCATCCATCGGACTGCCAGATGGTGAAGCGTGATTCATCACTCCAGAGAACGCGTTTCCACTGCTCCGGAGTCCAATGGCGGTGAGCTTTACACCACTCCAGCTGATGCTTGGCATTGCGCATGGTAATCTTAGGCTTGTGTGTGGCTGCTCGGCCATGGAAACCCATTTCAGGAAGTTCCCGATGAAAAGTTATTGTGCTGACGTTGCTTCCAAATGCAGT